AGTTTGTGACATTGTATACCACATACTACTGATATTTGCTATTTGTGCTAAAGTGTGTAAGACCAAAAGCACAAAAGAAAATAAACTATTTTGTTGACGCGTGTTGGGAACAAAGTGATTTTTATAAATTTACTATATCTGAAATTACGTTTTGATTTAGCTCATAAAGTCGATGTCATTACCACACAATTAAATGCGGCTCAGTCTTTCAGTACTAATTTTTAGTTAGCTAATTCAATTAATTATATACATAGTTTTTATAATTGAATTTTTATCCTATGCATTAGGTACATGAGATAATAAAAAAAATATTTTTATTGAAAAAATTATCATGTTAAAAATAAAAAAATAATTTAATACTCATTATTTATATAATAAAAACCATGAAAGTTAATCTTTAATTTTCCTTCAGCCTACATACCTAGTACATAAGACAAAAGGATAGTTAACAATTGACAGCAATTTAAGATCAATTCATAATTATTTACTTTAACCTTCATCATAAAATAGTAAATTTAAACTTTAATTGAATTAACTGGTGTGCCGTGACCTGGATTGAAAGAATAGAAGTCCATCAGACCAAGTGACTCTTGATGATAGACATGGCTCGTAAGGGGCTTTTAATATTAAAAAAGTTCAGTCTAATTAATGTTGACCAAAAAGTTCAGTACAATTAATAGATAGATAGGTCTCTTAAATTTATTGATTATAATTTTATTCTTGATTGTATATAAAAAATCTTTTATTAAAAGAGGCAAAATTATATTGATTTTAATGATTTCCATGTTTTCGAAAAAAATTAATCATTTAATGTTAGGAAAAAAAAAACTCTTAATACTCATGGAAAGAAATGGTTCAGAGATGGACAATATTGAGTGATGTATTTAAAAGGATTCACATCTATATAAGAAGATATACTCAATAGAAAGAATCATGAGATTGGATGCGTACAGGCTATGCCTATGAGTCTTGTTTATATTTCCCTCAAGTTACATCTTTTATCAGATAATAAAGGGTGCCTCCCCAATTAAACGTTTATAAGATAGGAGAAACATTATATTGTGCCCAACAATTAGTTATCATTTTTCTTTCTTTTTTTCTGGTAAACTTGTTTACTTGAAAGAAATATTATTGGGTTATTCATGAATATATGTAACAAAAAGTAAATGTATCAAGAGATTTCAGAATTTATCAACAGAATGAATTTATAGCCATCAAAATTTAAAAAATGGGTGTCGAATACACAATTCATGGCAATCTTTTTACTTTATCAATTTTTACCACATTTATCCATTATGAAAATTTTTAAAACTAACCATTATGATAGCTTGAAGATATCAACTACAAATTTTGACAAACTTTGTGAAGATTAGGAGAAGAAAAAACAAATATAGCCCAACCTACAATTTATACACGGAACTAGAACAAGTTTATCACTTTTTCCAACCCTTTTTCTAATGTTAGAAATACAGCAAAGAAACCTTATCAGTTCGCCCCATTAATTGATTTGTTTGGATCAACTTCCAGTGCCAGCTTGATATTACTCATATTAGGATGTGTGTCGCAAGCAGATTTGGTTTCTCAATGTTTATATATATATAACAAAACTTTAAATTCTTTTAGATATCGCTTCGTTATCCTTAACTTTATTATACAATATTATGATCTTAACCGCCTAAAATTCAAGATCAAGTTCGTACTTACATATTTTATAATCAAGGTCGATTATTATTATTATTATTATTTGCATATATGAGAGTTTCATATTCAATTCTACCTAATAAAATTAATAGTTATAGCTGTACGTGAGTCATGAACTTTTGGCTTAAATTAATAAAATAAATAAGAGTACGTAGAGGACCATCGAATTTGCACGTCTAGTCTTCTGTTGAGCCTTTTCATCTCTCTCTCTCTCTTCCTCTTTGAATTTTTAATTACATTAAATGCCTGATGCGTATCTATATAAGATATTAGAGTGTCCTCATGGTATCTACTCTTCTTTTTTTAAAAAATAGAGCAAAGTAAGTATAAATCATAAGTATTTTGGGGTGGAGTATAAACTATTAGTTTAGAGGTTAATTAAAATTTTTAAATATATCACTTTTTGAAAAAAAAAATTATCTATATTTTATGATCTTTTTAAAAAACAATTACCCTCTATTTTATGATTTTATTTATGGAATTAAAGTTAATATAAATGGAGAAAAGCAAGTAAGCAACCATCAAAAGTGTTTTGCATTATATATATATATATATATATATATATATATATATATATATACGGCATGTGTCTCAAAGCTTCGCAACATTGGTGGAAGCTTTGTCCAGGACCAGGATCTTCGTATCCTCTTCTTACACGTTTTTCCAGCCTAAGATTGGTCAATGGTAATGATTCTTAACAATCCGAGTATTGCTGAATGGGTGATGTATATACAAATTTGGTACCAATCATTGAATCATTAATGAGTGAAGAAAAATAAAACTCTGATGTTAAATGGTGAAACAGCTGAAAGTGAAAGTAACATCTCCCTCTATAGGTAGTGGAACATGCTACAAATAATCTGGTGTTAAATTAGTTTGTATTAGTATAATATTTAGTTCCATTGAAATTAAATTAGTAGTATAAATATTATGAATTTTTTTTAACAATATGGAACATCATTCTAACAGTCAATTTCAATAATGTAGACTACTAATATATATTCATTCAACATTAGTACAATATATCATATGTAGTGTAGATCTATAATATATCATACTCATTAATATAGACTATAACTAGTTTAGTTTTTGTCAGAAAAATGTTACACCAACAAAAAATAATAATAATATTTTTTATTAATAAATAAAACTTTTTTATAGGGGGATATGTTCCAATCCCTTAGGAATAATGAGGAATATGGGCATTTAAAGATGAACATTATATGGAAACAATGACAAGCGAGAAGGATAAGAGAAACTAGATGTGTGATCAGCTTATTTATTAGTGATAAATGCAATTTTGAAATGAACATATTTATGTGTAGTCAATTATGAAGTTGCTTGTGAACTAGAGTAGAGAGACTGAGTTTCATTAATTTATCTATTTTAATATATATTTGTCCATAACGTGCTAGGCTCTGTTAACTTTTAATATTGTTGTATACGGTTGCATGGTGCATAAATAACTTCGTTAGTATAACATTGTGTTTGCATCTAAATGTTCAAATTAATGTCTTGATTTGATTTATGTTATTAGCAATGTTTTTTAAATCAAACCGCTTGTTAAATTGATAAAATATGAACATATAATTTATTAACTTAAGTGTAATTAAATAGACACATAAACACTTATTCTTAGCAAACATTTACACTAAAAACCGACAGATGATGAAGATTTCAGAGGCAACTCAGACGACCTTGCAGATTTGAGGGATCTATGCCAGCTTGTCAACGGGGCATATCCTGAAATGAAAATTGAAGTTCATTATAGTTTTATAATATTATAAAGACATAAATTTTACGTCAAAGTAGAATTATTGAATCCATCAAATATTAATTTTTATATGACTAATATTATTAATTTATAAATGCTTTGACAAAAATATAACTCACGAGAAACATGTTATATGAACGACAAATGAGTAATCATCCCCACATACAAATGTCTTTTACACAAGAAAACAAACCTCACGTGTTGCGTTTTACCCTTTTCTCTCCATGACTTTATTATCCATTAGATGCACCAAATTGTATAATAGAATGAAATGGTAAGATTACAACCGAAAAAAAAAAGAAAGATTTCATTTAATGTTAATTAGTATCAGTGTGATATTTATTAAAATTTTAAAAATAAACAGATGCATTTACAAAAAAAATTAATTGATTTTTTAGTTCTTATAATTTGAGTTATCTATTTTTTTTAATCTCTCAAATTTTTTAAAGTTAATTGAATATGTATTTTTAAAATTAAATTTTAAGTTTTTAAAAAATATCTAAAATACACACACACACATATATATATATAGAGGCAGGATCTTCTTACACTGGTGTAAGTCTAAAAACTTTTATATTCAATTTAAATATTTTATTTAACTTAAATCTAACAGGTTATAATTTATTACTTTACTGGCCATTAAATTTAAGTTAAATAAAAGATTCAGATTGGATGTAAAAATTTTTAGACTTACATTGATATAAAAAAATTATTTTCTTATATATAAGCATAACAATTGAACTCAATCCCAATAAACACCTGTAAAATTACTCACCAAAGATAAGATATTTATCCATCAAATAAGACATTCAAGTATGGATTATTATCTACAAAACTTCGCAAGTATAAATACTATAATACTCAATCTTATCCATACTTACATAATATATTTATTATATTTTATAAGTAGAAATTTTTAATTAAGTTAAATAATTGTGTGTAATGTTCTTCGGTTAAAAGTTAGATTATCTTTTTTTTTTTCAATTAAGTTATGGGCTTTAACTTTTATTTAGTGCTCATTTATTATTTAGTGAACTATATGCATGATAGATTTAAGTACAGTTGTAAGTGCAGCAAGAATATGGATATTGAAGTTACTTCTACGTATGAGTTTTTTTTTTTTTTTTTTGTTAACTGTAGGTATCAAGAAAAATATGGTAATGCTACCTAAAATCCTACCGATTGTCATGCCCGCTTGTCCACCCATGAGTTAAAAATGAACTAAATTCAAAGCTGAAAAAAAGTTTTACTATTTTTTTCTACGAAAAGTCATTTTACTGAATTAAAAAAATGAACCCACTTGTTTTTATTGAGTCAATTCTGAACTAGGCCCACTTCCCCAATTCCAACACTAAGAAACATGCAACTTTCTTAATTTACACAATTCTCAAGAGAATTCGAATTTCTAGCATGGAACTAAGCGCTCAATTTTAATAGTAATAATACGAATTACAAATTTTAACTATAATCACATATCACTCGTTGCAGTAACGGTACCTGCAAGTCCCTCTGCGGAGATCCGGTTAAATTTGGTAATGCACATAATCGCATCCTTGGATTAAGCTTCCAATGTAAAAAATCTACATATTCATCCTAACAACATCTGTTTATTTAGTGTTACAACAAATATGTACCAACTAGAAAATAAGTACAAAAAATTGAAACATCCATTAATAGTTAAACAAACACCTTCTAATGGATACTGCTAACTCACTAACCCTCCCATGATGAAGGACGGCTACACATACCCCAAGACAAACCGCAACTGAAACAATCACAAAAACAGCTGGTCGAGAGGTCAAGAATCCCCTAGCAAGATTTCGACGACCACATCTTACAGGTAACTCTTCCACATTCATTATAATTTCCCTCTTCAAAAGTGGTATTCTTTCATTTTTCTCATTAGAAGTTGGACTTTTCAGTATTCCTAATCTTGCATCTGCTCTCGACAGGACATCCTGCAAAACAATAATCCATGTAGAAAATGCATGTTAATTGCAACAGTGTCACCAGATCTTACAAATTATCAGAAGCTATAAAACCAGAATGCTCTATGTTTAGACAGTTTGGAATTGCTGCTAGCTAGGAAGTTAACATGAGAAGAACTAAACCATTTAAACTAAATTCAAATAATTAGGTTCGGTAAGAGACCAAAAATCTACAATTCCAGCAACACATAAATATAAGAAATTTGTCGGCTGAATGATGGCAACAATTTTTGTAATTGAAATCAAAATTAGCTTTGGCATCCAAGTATCCTCAACCGTTTGGCTGCAAGGCCTTTGATTTAGAACACAATTAAAGGAATACCTTGCTATTAAATGTTATTGCACATAAGGCAAAACAGTTTTTTTTATTTGTCGGTAAGGTATATGGTTTAGATCTGGAGCAGCGATAGTTTCAACAATTGTTTGGAGAAAAGGAATTGAACTCTGCTAATCCATCTTAAAGCTATTGCTCATAGGCCACATCAGGGTTTAATACATGAAATAGAGTCAAAAGATTTCATTCCTACTTCAGTTTCTCATACAATTCCTACTTGAATATTTTTCCAATTTTCAAAAACAATACCCTTTTAATTTGGAATACGACACGCATTAAGGAGGGCCTTGTCAAATGTGACCCACCAGTAATCCACTTATGCCTAATCCAAGACATAAACCCTTGAGATATACAGGCACATAGAAAAATTGAATTTAATACTTCAACTAGAAGATAAGAAATTCAGGATAATAATAGGGGTGTAATGTAATAAATTTAACATAATTGCTAAGATTCTTTGTATCTCACTCTGCCGCATTTGTTAACCATATGACAAAAGAAGTGGTAACCATTGATTGCTTCTTTTATTTCAACGATTAACCCTGAACTCCTCTTTCCCTTTCTCTCTTGCTTCTTTTCTAGGTATACTCCTCTTTATTCGATCTTTCCCCTGCTCCCATATCAAACATGTAAACAACTTCCTTCGGTCTAACAATCATTGCCCTCTCTCATCAAATAATACAACCTTAAAATCAATTGTTATCAATGAAATTTGCACAATCAAAATTTCAGGTGCTAAGTTTTACTCAATCTTAAACTGTGAAGAGCTCTAACAATTTGATTGTCAATGCCAGCAGTTAGAGTACAAGAGTAAGACTGTTTAGATTGAGACAGCAATCTATGTTAACCAAAATACAGGATCCATCAATTTTATTTAAGAAAATGACTATAAGTAAAATATAAAGTATCTGAATCTAATGGTTTGAGATGTATCCATATTTCATTATCAGGGAGAAAACTAAAAAGGAAAATTATTAGTCCTAACCTGAGTGGTAACTGCAACAACTGATAGCATGTCATTTTTGGAGCAGCCCTGAGCAAGTTTAAAGGCTTCCATTTCAGAGTGCACACCTATATCTCCACCTTTCAGATGATTCTGATAAATGGCATCTCTAGCATTATGTATGCATTTCAGGAGGGGCGTCATGTCAACATCACCCATCCTATTAATCACAATATTGGATTTCATGCTTTCTGTCAAGAATATCAAATTTGGTAATATTTTTCCCAAAATGACTGATGAATCATTGCACATCAGAAAATCCAACAAATGACAATATCTATGAATTTGTGAAGCTGTCATCAGTCTGTCAAAAGTTTCTGAAGTAGGGTCCTTAAGCAACCATGCTATATCTACAAGCAAGTCTGACGATGATGCATGCCTAAGTGCAAAATCTTCACATGAGCTGCAGATAGAACCACCTGAGGCAGACTGGAATTGTCTAGAAAGGAGGGATATATCTAATTTTTGCTGCAATGTCTTCATTTCAGTACAAATTTCTTTATCACCAATGAGTACAGGAATAAAGTTTGATAAACCAGATTCATTCTCCACCTACAGAAAGCACAATGAATATGATAAAACACAAGAAATATGAATTGCATAAGAGCAACAATCTCAAAAGGCACTTCCATATTGGTGTAAAGCTTTAATAAATGAAACTTGATCAAAAGTGTAAATACATATTACAAAGATCCTATTGTATCAAAAGGTTCTGGCAATTTATCTTAATTGGATGTTATTATCATCGGGACACATGTCTGGTTATAACAGCATTAGCACAATTTAGTACGCATTCCAAAGCTAAAATTCAATACCAGTCAATATAAGTTACATGTACTTCAGACAAGAGCCAGCCAAGTAAAAAGAACCAACAAGAAAATAGTTGGAATTCAATATAAGGGAGTGGATTTCTAAGGGATATGCTACAACAGCTTGGCACGCATCAATATGGCGATCTCCTGATGCCTTGAATTTTATTTATCAGAAAAATAAACAAGCACAAAATATTTAAAAAAAAAAAAAAATCATCAACCAAAAATTGCACACAAATTATATGAACTGCTTAACTCAAAGTACTCAACTGTGGTCGTTAAAATTTTCTATTATCCTTAGTTTGATGATTTTTAGGCACAAACTGTTAAATATTTATACATATATAAAAAATACATCAGCAGTTCCTGAATCTAAAAGAAAACACACACATTTAACTTGCCCAGCAGTAATTACGATCAAAATCATGCATTCCAAATAAACTAAGAAACATAGTAACAAAAAAAAAAAAAGTCCAGATCAAAGCATAATTAAGGAAACAGAACTATAGGTTCTTTAGTACCTCAATAAAAGCAGGACCAAAGAGACTTTCCTCTGTATGAGGGACATATATCTTGTATAACTGACTGTCAAAAGCACAAGAAATATTGTCTTCAGTCCAGTTATGTGGAGATGGAACACAATGCTGACACTTAAGATACTTTCCAGAAAAAGATACAAGAAACCTGCCATGATGACCACCTCAATACAATCAGAAGTACATCAACAAGTGAGCCAGAATCTAAACTAGCTGTTAAGATGATACGTTTAAAAATGAGAATATATCAACTGAAATAAAAGAAAACCAAACAAGTGAAAAGCATGGTCAATTTGATATTAGATTTGCTAACAGAATTGATATTGGAGTGTCACAAGAAAATATTATAACAAAGATAGCACCAACTATTCTATGCATTTACCATGCTCTGAGGCTATAACAGTATAACCATGTAAGGATCTTAGATTCCAAAATAAAATGTATAGATGCAGAAAGTATAATGATAATTGATTACGCAATTTCCAATGCTGATACTATTTTTTTTAATGTCCCGTTTTAAGCATAAAAGTTGCTGATGATTACCAACATCTTGTGATCACTTACAACAACATACAGCACTCACTCCTACACCAGGATGAGATAATTGCAGGAAATGATTACATTTAGAATATAAAGCAAGATCAATTATAAAACAAAGATAGGAGATAAACAAGATATACATGTCAAGCATTAGTTCTCTGGCAACAAATAGTTATATGTGAACCCAAAGTTCTTCTCAAAGTTAATAGATTTTTGGTTATTGAGGAGTTACACAAAAATTGTTCAGAGTTTGGGTTCAGTGAGATTTAACGATGCTCCAATCCCTCTACACATCCATAACATTACACACCTCCCTCTCTCTCCTTTTGCTTACAGATGCTTACCTCAACTCTAGGTCCTCAACATTGCTAAATACATATATAATGCACAAGTGAAGAGAAACATGCTTGTATGTCATAAATATTTAAAAAAAAAAAAAAACCTTTAAATGACATTCAGAAGAGCTGACAATTACATACCGAAACTTAGGCTGCAGTAGGTTACTTCCACAAGCAACAAACTCCATAGGTTTTCCAGCCTCAAAGTATGTGGGATGAACATAGTGAAGCCTTGGTGCCTGCATGTTTACCTCGACTTTTGTCACAGAAGTTCCGTCTGTAACCATCGAAATGTGTTTGTTGAAATAATAGGGCTTGGTATAGACTATAGAGGAAGGAAAAGAAGATAACAGAGACTGTATATTGATATTGACTTGATATGATATGATGTGATATATTACAATATGATAATAAACATAAAGCAATAACCCTTATCATCTTGGAGATGTTTATTATCATATATATATATAGAAACTATTCCTAACAAATATTCTAAATTATTCTACCAAACAATTTAGATATTATTTGATATTCTTCTTATATTCTAATAGTGTTGATGAATTTTTAAAAAAATAAAGCTTCACAACTCAGAAAGTTTACAACAACAAAAAAAAAAATAATAAAGAAACTTATATTAATTAAGCATATACAATTAAAGAAATTATCATTTAATTTGTTTCATAAAAAATTAGAGCATAATGTACATCTCCAAGATGGAGGATAAATACCCTACAAAGTCATTAATATTATCATAAGGATCAAGGTATAAAATACTAAAAAAATTCAGGGGGGCAAAGTGAACCAAAAAGAAGATGTATACACAGGGTGAACAAATGAAAAAAAACCTTTCATAACACGGAAGATCATGTCATTCAGATGAATTAGTGCAGTGCCTCTTCCATATAGCATCTTTCCAGGAGCAACAAGATCTCTCGCATATTCCAAAGAGTCTTTGAGTAACTGGTTGATCCACAGGAGAAAGAAAAATGAGATCAGAAAAACGAAGAAAATGAAAATTAACAAATCAAATTCAATACAAACTTGAAAACTGAGGGGAAACAGATTTTCTTGTTTTTTAGTTGAAGTATGAAATTCCTGACTCATCAATCAAAAAGAGAGAATATGAATCAGGTAATATACAACAAATTAGAGCACAAACAAGCATCTCAGTTAGCAAAAACTGCCCAGAAAAATGATCAGAACAAAGAATCATACATTCCATTAGTCCAATATTGATTGGGGCAGTTAACCGATAAAAAGGCCACTTAAAATGCCACTAGAAAATACAATGTAAGGAAACATCAAGTCAAACCCTTACATTTATCCACATAATGTTAGGCATTGCAATAAAAATTGTCAGGATCGTACACCCAGGGCGGATATATCCCTCCAGCTCTAAAGGCATATTTGCCAACCATTGGAATATCTGCAAATGCATTTGGCTGCCTGTTAATCAGTTAGTGACATGTACACGGCAGAAGATCTTGCCATTATTGAAATACTAAACTGCAATAACAATGCTTTAAAATACTTGGTGTCGTAGCCTTCTAGGAAATTCCGCAGGATTCCAATCATAAAGCTTGAAAGAAATCCGACCTGTTTGGCACTACAAGTGAACTTTCAATCAGCAAACATCCACCACTATCTCATACGCTATAATACATATTTAGAAGAAAACTTAATAAACAAGCAGAGCATCCCACCATAGACGAATAGGCACTCTTATTGTCACAATATGAAGGCGAATTAGAAGTGTTGGAAACATCCTTTCCACTATTCACCCGAGTTTCACCAGAAGCAGTTAAAGACACAACACTATCACTATTAATATTCTGTGTATCAGGAGCCGAACTCGGAATGGGAACCAGCTCGTCTTCCTGATATGGGGACGCTTCTTTTTCATTAATCTCGCTACTCAAATTAGAACAATCTGTACGATGAATACACAGCCAGTGAGCAAATACATTAAACAAAAAACATTTATGAAATTATTAGTTTGGCATAGAAATCAGCAATACTGAACATAAACCTTTTCCTGCGTCTCCATCATAATTGCAATCCTCATTTTGATTAACAGGTTGAAGATCATGATCAGCTGCAGCTGTAGAATCCGACGGCGGAGGCTTTCTTCGCCTTCTGGTGTTGTGGCGCTCTAATTTTCTTCTGCAGCTGCGTTTTCCTTCGTCAAAATCCGATAAAACGTGAAACCTGCGAAGCAATTAGCGTCGTGGACCATCAAAACGACAACAGAATCGCACAATCGAAGCACGGGTGAAACGAATAGAGTTAAACAGAGGCGTACTTGCCACACTGTTGACAGTATCGTTTAGCTTCACCGTGCAGGAGAACGGTGGAGGCATTAGCGCAGTGCAAACAAACCCTATGCCTCCGGTGATAGCCTTTGAGCTCGGAGATATCGACCTCACAGCCAGGAACCTGGCAGCTAGCGGATGTGGATGCACGCGCGGTACGAGGGCGTTTCTTCCCGGGTAAACCGTCGTCTTCGAGCTTGGCGTCGAGTTCGGGGCATGCGCAGGGGACCCGACCCGCGAGGAAGTTGGAGCAGGTGAGTCTGGGGTCGCGTTTACGGACCTTGTCGTTTGCGGGGGTTTGGAGATGGGGAGGTTGAAGGTCGTTTAAGGGGAGAGAGTTGTCGTCGTCGAGATTGAAGTCGAGGAGGTAAGAGAGGTCCCAAATGGAGGAAGGGTCTTCGGATTCCATGTGTGGAGGAGGAGTGAAAGATTGCGGTTCCATTGAACCCTAATTCCTAATCCCTAAATCCCTAATTGTGGGAAAAGGAAAAGGGAGAGTGGTTAGGAGTGGTTAGATGTTTGGCGGAGAATGTAAGATACGGCGGCTTTCTCTTTCTCTCTCGTTCAACAACTCGGCAATGGGGTCATTGTGGCGACATTTCCAAGTTTCCTCAACTACGCGCTCTCCTTCTCCCTCACGCGCCCCTCTTTCTTTTCTTCTTCAATTATTAGCTATTATATTTAAAAATTATGTATAATAAATTAACATTTTTTATTTTTACTAATAAATTTGCAAATAAAAATTATGTATAATGATTTTATTGAACTATTAAATTTAATATATTAATAATATTAAATATTATTTAATTAATAATGTATTAAAAAAATTTAAAACATTAATTAATAAAATTCTTTATTTTATGAATATAAATTATTGTCATGTATATATTTCAAAATTATTTAATTTTATTAAAGTTTTATTATTTTAATATATTATTTATAGTTACAAAATTAAACTAAAATAATTTAGTTATATGTAATTATTTGTAAAACTATAATGAAATTTTCTAATTATTAAATTATGTATATGTGTGTTTATTATAAAATAAAACGCATATACATTACATGAAATATTGAACTAATTAATCTAAATTTCCTATTGATCGGTTTGCTTAGCTAAACTTATTCGAATGATTAGTATCTATTTTATTTGACTTTGCTTTTTAATTGAATTAAAAATAAATCAACGAATTAAAATAAATTAATTTGATTTGCCTTATTACGTTTGACATTTAAAAAAGCATAGAAGTAGAAGAGTTTGAATCAAACTCTAAATTAATTAGTTGGGATTGATTTTTTTAAAATGGTGTTATTCTATATGTATCCGCAATAAATAAATAAATAAATAAATGGTTACTTGGTTAATTAACTCAATAAAATTTCTATCATTAAAACAGTATTTTGTCGCACGTGTAAGCAAGGAAAAATAAATAAATATATGCTTGAAGGAGTCAAAGCCCAACAGTCAACAAAGAAAAAAAATGAAATAATAAAAACAAAAATCCTAATAAAAAAATTCATTAGTCTTAGAGGTCATTGAATTTTAACCATGAAAACAAAATCTAAACAAAAAATGAACAACTTACATTAATTTATTTCGATCTGTTTTCTAACACATTAAAGCAAACTATTATAATTAATTTAATTTTTCAACCTCATCAAGTCGGTGTAAATCAACATACAATTTTGAAAAATGTAATGAAAAGATAAATATTGTTTTAAAAAATTTGATAAGTTTAAAATAATTTAAAAAATTTAGTGTAACACATTGAACATGTATCAATTAATACCCTTGAAAGATTCAGTGACAGTTTTTGAAAAATATACTAAAACGTGTACTAGTCCACATTTTAATGTAAATTCTTTTTTTTTTTACTTAAATATGTTAAAAAAAATTAGTGTAATACATTGGATATGTATTAATCAGTACCTAAATTTTGCTTCCTTTCTTTTTATTCATTTAATTAATGTGTGTTAAAAAAAATTTATTAACTTTAATTGTTAAGACTGAGTTTAAAATAAAAAATTATTAAAAAAATACATAATTATTGTATTAAAGTTATAAAAATATAATAAATATTTTTTTAACAAAATTTTATTATTATTAACTGTTTAAGAGTTGAGGTTAATAAAATTAAAAAAAATTTACATGTATTTAGTACAAAAATTTACACATACTAGTAATTAGCCATGTTATCATTTAATAGTGATTAAGAATGTATTTAGATAAGATATTTCAGAAGAATAATTTACTTTTTGAAATATTTATAATTTTATAAATTAAATTTTATTTTGCTAATATTTATTTTTAAATAATTTAAATTTTAAAAATTCTAATAAATTTTTTTAATAAACTAAAATTAGATAATTCTAAGACTAAAAATAAGTAAAAATTTATAGTTATTATTTTTGTTTAGGACATATTTCATTCATATTTTTATTTAATTATAATTAATTTAATAATTTAAATATTATAGTTTTTAATTAATTTGTCAAATATAAGACAACTTTATTTTAAAAATAATATAAGTAATTTAATTATTTTATCTAAATAAAATATGTAAAATAAATAAAATTTAATTATTCTATTTAAATAAAAATATAATAATTTTTATTATTTACTAAACATGTCTTTAAAATTAATGTATGTTAAAAGGAAAACGCAAGCCACTGATTAAAGAATTAAAAATATAAATTATTGGTCCAGAAATAATATATATATATATATAATAATTTTTAGTACAGTTAAACATAATTTTTAATTAATTTTTTTTACTCCCTATGCCTTAAATAATTTCCTAAATACAGAGTTATGATACGGGAAAAAATGCAAAAATTTGATTTCCTAATTTCCATGTCTTCAACAATCTAATTAAAGACAAATATCATTAAAATAAACAATACATTAATTAGCACGTATTTAGAAATATATTTTAATTATATATTTATTTTATAAACTTCTATCGTACGATAACTTATATCATATATTTATATTTAACGATAAAAATTCTTAAAACAATATAAACATAGTTTATTCTTATAAATTATACTAAATAGCTACTTAAAATAAATTAAAAAATAACTCAATAGAATTATTAATTAATTTCATCAATAAATATGTATTACACAGATACATATGAGGCGGTTGTTCCTCCAATAAAGTCACCCTAACATATGAAAACAAAAATGCCAAAATCAAAATCTATTAATTTTAGAAAGCTTTAAAGTTTAAATTATATTTAATCCTTAAGTTAACCCATTAACGATGATACGTTAACATTCCTTCTGTTTTTTATATAAACAATATTTCTAATCTTAATTATAATAATAATTTTTTAATGTGTGTCAAATGATTAACTAGTATCCTAAAGATCATAATGTCTAAAAAATCAGAAGTACAAAAAATTATTAAAAAATTATCTTAATGCATCTCTTCCTATAATTTTTAATAAAAAAATTTATACTTTTGATTTTAATCAGCACTCTTAACAATACTATTTGAATTAATAGAAATAAATATCAACTATTATTTTAATAAAAAATTTTATTATTAAGACATCATCTATGATAATTTTATTGTATTTAAACATAATTTGTACTAAAAAAACATTTATAATTATTCAACAAGTATATAATGTATAGTTTATATTCTACAAATCCTCCTAATTATTAAATAACGGTACCTCAATTTAATCGTAATATGAAATTTCTATTACGAATCTGCAATAATTGAACAAAAAAAATATTAATAATAAAACAGAACCCCGCAATGATGAGATCCATAAAAAAGGGAGGACCACACTTGTTTCATGTCATCTTTCACACCGCAAATCAAGTCTTTATGCCAGTTCATTGTCCCAACATTTTCATGTGTAAAAACTAAGCTATATGTACTATTTCGCCTTTTTTTTTTCTAATATAAAAAAATTAAATATTAAAATATGAGACTTTGTTTTTAAAAAAACGCAAAATAAAAATTGTCAATGCTATTTTTATTATTTTTTATAATTGTTTGAAATTTTTAGTGATTTAAATTTTTGAATGCTAAAATCAACAATAATAATTTAATATTTTAATTTTTAAAAGATCATTTTAGTACTTTAAAAAATTTTATAATTTATAATTATTTTGTTTCTAAATGTTTACCTTATATAAAAAAATTGTCAAAAATGATTTTTGAATTTTTATAATTTTCTCAAAAACTTTACATTTTGATACATCTTATTTTTAAAGTTTAATTATATTTTTTGTCTTTATAAATGTAGATTTTTTTGTTATTAGTTTTTATAAATATTTTTGTTAAGAAATAATATTTCTAAAGTTAATAATTTTGAAATTGGTCCTTATCGTTAACTCTCACTCTGTTAAGTACTGAGTTGGCTGACGAAAAGTCAGCTCAGCATTTTACGTGACTATCTTGAGACTTAATAATAGATTCATACCAAGTCATTTATTATTTATTATTTAAAAATAAAATTTACAAATAAGTCTATAAATAATTTTATATACTTACAAATAAACCCTTATCTATTAATATTTATAATATCATCTTATTAGTCATACATGTTAAATATAAATAAATTAAATAGTTATAAACAAGTAATTTTATTATTAAATTTATTAATATTTTATAAAAATATAGATCATATATTGAACTAAGTAGATTAACGAAGTATCGAGTGACTGATTAAAATTCATTAGCCTTTTAAAATTTCACCCTTATCTGCGCTGCTATTATTTTTATCTAACTAAAAAAACAAAACGTGGCTAATGCTAAATAGCAAGGTTATTAAAATCATTTTTTAATTATTTAAAATTTAATATTATAAAAAATATTAAATAAAATATATAAATCTGCTTCCATTTGTTGAAAATGAATATGAAAAATATTCTTCACCAGGGTCAAGCAAAATAAGTTTAGTTAAGATGGATAATCATTAATTAATTAATTAATTGAAGAGGATTAATTGTGCTGCCCCCACGTAAAGGTGGGTTACAGTTACACCCTGCCTCATAAATGGACAAATTTGCTTCACCCTCCATTCTAAACGGCTCATTAACTTTTAAATTAGCATTAACTATTTATTAATTGTTATTTTTGCAGTTAATTTAAAACAATGCTGAAATGGAATATATGCTCATGAACTGCATTTACTTCAAAAGAGTTGATTGTATTCGTCATGACAACACAGTCAAAGTAGATCTCTCGTACACTACTCGTCGCGTATTTCCTAAATCAGCATCACTCTCTTTATGCAGAGTATGCTATTATCTTTTTGTTCTTTAGGCTAAGTCGTATTCATAATAAAGATAAACCCAAAAGGTTAATACGTGCTATGTATATATCATATTAATTGCACGTCACAGGGAGTATCCAATGAAAATAATCGGATAAAAAGCATCGAATTAAATAATATATGAGTGGTAAATTATTATAAAGAAACATGAGGGTGAAGCATATTATTATAACTTTGTCCTCATTATCAATTACTTGTTCGTGTATGTTTATCCTTACTGTATACCTAAAGATTATTGTTTGAATGTTGAATCACTGATTAATGATTATGATAATTAATATTTCTAAATGTATATTAAATTTGGCTCCTATATAAAGAGATGGAGGATTAGATTAATGCAAAAGTTAAT